ATGTGTTGAGGGTCCTCACAGGCACCGCAGCTTCAAAATCTCGCCATGGAGGACAACCAGGGGTGGACATATACAAGAGCTGGGAGCTGGATGTCTCAGCCTGAGCTGGACCGAGAGCCAGGCGGGAGGTGCTGGCCCAATTTGAGCATAGTTTTCAAACCCTTCTGATGAAGCCTCACTCCTTCACAGGCCCAAGGCATGTTTCGGGGAAAGACAGCGGCCTCCTTAAATGGAAAATGGAGACATCTGGGGTCCCCCTGCAGCGGCAGCTCCTGGGCCAACCCTCTCCATGTGTTGCTCTGGACGGGTCACCTAAGATGGAAAATTCCTCTTGGTAAGCTTTGGACAAAGCCTGGGACTAGGCTGCTTAGAAGTCACCCTGAAGATGGAAATGGTGGTGCACTGTTGATGATGATGATGATGATGATGATGATGATGATGATGGTGATAATGATGGTGCTGATAGTGACGATGACGACGGGGGTGATGGTAGTGATGATGGTGATATTGGTGATGGTGATGATGCCGGTGATGGTGGCAATGATGTTGATGACGATGATGACGGCGGTGGTGATGGTGGCGATGATGACGGTGATGGCGGTAGGGATGATGGTGGCGATGATGGTGATGATGGGGATGATGGGGATGATGACGGTGATGACAGCGATGATGACGCTGATGGTGGTGATGGTGACAATGATGTTGTTGACGATGGTAGTGATGATGGTGATATTGGTGATGGTGATGATGACGGTGAGGATGGTGATGATGATGGTGACAGCGGTGATGGTGACAGTGATGTTGATGACGATGATGGCGATGGGAGTGATGGTGGCGATATTGGCGATGGTGGTGATGATGGCGATGGTGATGACGGTGACGATGACAGTGATGGTGACGATGACGGTGGTGATGATGATGGCGATGATGGTGATGATGGTGGTAATGACAGTGATGATGATGGTGACGGTGGCGATGGTGACAATGATGGGGATGGCGATGATGACGGTAATGATGATGGTGACGGCGGTGATGGTGACAATGATGTTGATGACGATGATGGCAATGGGAGTGATGGTGGCGATATTGGTGATGGTGGTGATGATGGCGATGGTGATGATGATGGTGGTGATGATGGGAACGGTGATGATGGCGGTGGTGATGATGGTGACGATGACAGTGATGGTGACGATGATGGCGATGATGGTGATGATGGGGATGGTGATGATGATGGGGATGATGGGGATGATGATGGTAATGACAGTGATGATGATGGTGACGGTGGCGATGGTGACAAGGATGGGGATGGCGATGATGACGGTAATGATGATGGTGATGGTGGCGATGGTGACGATGTTGATGGCGATGGTGGTGATGATGGTGATGATGATGGTGGTGATGATGACGGTGATGATGGTGATGACGGTGATGCTGGTGCTGGTGGGGATGATAGCAGTGATGACAGTGATGACGATGGTGATGGTGGCGATGGTGACAATGATGTTGATGATGATGACAACGGTGGTGACGGTGGTGATGATGGTGCTAAGCATCTCAGTGGCTCCTCCCTGTGTCTCTCAGACCTTTTTCTCTTGCTTTGAGAATCTCCCTCCAGAGAAGCTTGCTACCCAGAGAGAAGAGTTTCAACCAAACAACAAACACTGCCCGGTCCAAAAAAGAAACTCTCGCACGTGTCTTCCAGCAAAATCCACTCACTGTTTGTGTTGGTGGAGTATCCTATTGTTTGAAACAGCTTTTTCCCAAAACATTTACATTCCGTCCCTTTCTCTGTTCCTTTCTACTGCAATCTTCTGTTTACTCTCTAAATAGGGGAAGAGTGGGGGGAAGAATGAAAGAGAAGAACCATCAACAAAAATGGGGAGGCTTCTGCTAAAATTATCTTCACTGTCATGGTCTGTCTTTCAAGGGGAAAAAAAGTCACCATTTTGTGCAGCTGCGGTTTTGGTTTCCTCCGTTCTGGACTATGAAGAGCAAGTCAAGGCAAGGATCTGTGTTTGCGATGGCCTCCTGACAATGGTCTTTGACTTCAACCTGCCACCGGGTGGGTGGCTGGGGCTCTCACCGTCAGACCATCCTACTCCACCTACCCTTCCCTGCAGGCTGTCTCCTCACCTGCCTGCTTCTTCTGGGAAGTTCTTTGTAAGCTAGCTTCTCCGTCTTTTTTCTGAAAGTCTCCATAGTGAAATCCGTGGGGAGGAGGACACTGGAGGATCCTTGCCACCACACAGCTCCTAGCCCCCACTTGCCCAGTGTCTGCAGAAGTTTCTGGGTTGCCTTCAGCCTCAAGGCTGTTGACACACCGTCCCCTGACTGAAGACAGCTTTGTCTCTTGCTCTTTGTTTGAGGGTTGATGTCCCAAAGAATGATACCCATCCCAAAGGCCTCTGCCAGATTTCTTTAAGGGGGTTCCAAAGATTCTCATGTAGATTAGAGTCCTATTTGGCTTGTCCTGGTAGGTGAATAAGTAGGGCACCTTCTCCTGGACTCAAGCTCAGGGACAGAGGAGGGGATATTTCTTATTGTCTACTTCAATTTTCCCTGATTGTCATCATAAACTCCTTCAGAGTTACATAGTAACCCTCAGATCTAAGCACGTGTATTGTGTGTGTGTGTGTGTGTGTGTGTGTGTGTGTGTGTGTGTGAAAAAAAATGAAGAAGACCTTCAATTGTCCTCCAAAAGCCTATAAAGAAATAACAAATGGGTTTCTCTTTTTAGTTCCTCACACCTGAACTCGCCAGAAAGCACCGAGGACTCTGATTCATCATGTCAAGTGGTTCATCAGAATCGGGAAATGCCTCTCTCTGGTCTCTGTGTAGGAGAGAGGGGATGGAATTAGAATTCTGGGAATGAAAATCTCTCCTGAACCTGAGCTCCCTGATTTCCTAGTCAAGGTCAATAATACAACGAATACCCCACGGTCTAAATTTAAACCAACTGCATTTCACGGCTACAGAAGCTGCAGTGACCAAGATACATTTTTAACAAAACTCCAACTTAAGTGGGTGGGGGCTGAAATTTATTGGTATCACACAAGTAACACATTAAAAACAATGAGTAGGGAACAGACGGATATTTTTGTCCCTATGTCGCTATTACATAAATTATTAAGTGACAATAAATAATAAATAGGATGATTAAACACGATATGGCATATATAAACCATAGCTAGGTATATGCTTCTCCAAGTTTCTTCTTCTTCTTTTTTTGATAATAAGCCCTCCACCGGAAGCATGAAGTCAGACGTCAAGGTTAATAAAATCGTAGCGATTGCCTGTGAAGTCAGAGCACAGAAAAGATGCCTAGCCTGAGGTGCTCCTTGGGACGAGGTTCTCTTTTCACGCCAGCCCGCGTGGGTCAGCGTGGCCGCAGAGAC